ACAACAATAAGTTAGTAGAAGGAAGGAACACAAAGCAAGTACTTTTACACGTTCCATATGTAGTCTGCCCGATAGCAAATTCATGATAAGCAAACTAGGTGATTTTCAGAATTGATTTGGCAACGCCTTTTACTTAAGTATCATTGAATTGCACCAATATTACCTGAGTTAATATGAATGACGGTCCTGCGTTGCTGAGTATGTCATTGCTATCTCTGAAATTCTACTCTCTTTCTCCGAAACGAAATTTCGGCAACGAACGAATTTTGAACGAAATCGCCAGTGACTACTCTATTTCATTTTCGAACATGCACATAAAGTTCGGTGTCACAAACAATTTTCGTGAAGAATGACTCATGTTAGTGAGTTCGTTTTATCTCCACTTTTTAGATTACATTTTTCACTTGGAAAACAATATTAGTGTATGACAAAAATTTTGATGACATTAAAAAAACCTATTAGAAAAACGAAAATGAAAAGGTAACACTTTTCATTTCATCAATTTGAGCCTTATATTTAGAAAAAAATGCTGTCAAATTCATCTTTAAATAAAAAATATATCTAATTAGCCTAAAGTGATTGTACACTGGTATTGTTCCTGAAACATGATATTTAATGCACTGAAGCTATTTACAAAAAACGATAAATTTTATGTAACCTAATTTAATTTTGACAAATTTTGTGTGAAAATACTTGATCCTTAATTCCTTAGTACAATATTTTCCGAGAAGTAAATTTTGTTTCGATACAAAAGGGTATCTGCAAAACCGTCTACCAAATTTATTTTCGTAGTTCGCGAAACTGGCTTGAGGAGAAGACACAAGGTTTTCCCCTTCCACCAACCTCTGCCGATTCTCTATTAAGATTATCCACTGGCCAAAACAAACAAAGGTCCCCTTACAAATGAAGGTCGAGGCTCCAGTGAACGCTTTCGTCATTCAATTCCATTTTCATCTCTTCAGAAAATCTGTTAAAATAAACCAAGAAGGTTTTATTTCATTCTAACTGGTTATTGTTTATCTAACTAATAGATGTAATAACGTTCACTTTATAAACGACTCCTACGATATCACGGTCGAGTTTATCACGAATATGCTATGCACGTATTTGACTGATTCTTGAAAAGTATATTATAAATATTCATTTATTTTGCCCAATAAAAATTTTAAATGTCAGGTTATTATTATTTGTTAATTGAAATACTATTTGCAATCTCCCAAAAGATGTCCTGACCCTTGAGCAATATGGCGAGACATATTTTCATTCTGTTACGTCACACACAAGGAAAAATAGTGTCACAAGTTCATATTGAAGGTTCAAGATGATTTTTGAAGTGTTAATGCTTTTGGCTATCAATAATCATCATAGATGATCTTTATAACAACTGAAGGACCGCGGTATGTCTGTATTCATTATTTACGTAAAAGAGTCGTTTCCGGTGCTCATGGATATATAATAATTTTACTTTGCTTTCAATAATTAATTTCAACTTATTAAAAAAAATAGTATGACCGCTGCCGACAGTTCGAACACGAAAGTCGATTTAAATTTATTCCACACTTTTACCGCAAAACTTTTCTCATTAAATAAGCAAGTCTATGAAAGCGAAGGAAATTTTCGGTCAAGGCTGGCTCAATACCGATATAGTGTTAGGGAAATATATTAAGCTAATTTCATGGATAGCAAACAAACGGGGCGGGGCGCGCCTACCAGGCCCTCCAATTTATAGACACAATTACACATAACGTCTTTCGCAAAACAATGTTTTGAGCTTACCTGGATTTCATGAAAAACAAAACACAAAATACGTAACTTTTTTCCGCGTGTAACGACCGTACCGTACATTAATTAAAAGGACCGAGTTGTCCGAATCTAATGTCATCTCAAAAAATTTACTGCCCTATCCAAAATTAAAATAAAAAGTTAGTTGAAGTATCTGAATGCGGGCGTGACTTTAAAACTAGGAGTTGATGCAAAAGTGAAGCGATCCGCATCTATCTACATAAAAACATAAATGTTTTTACCCGGTTTAAAATTAGAACCTTGGAAAATTAGAAACAATGAAACTGGAACTTATAATCTTTATATATATAATTCTTCTGTGAGTGTGTATGTCACTGAACTTCTCTTAAACGACTGGACCGATTTTGATGAAATTTTTTGTGTGTGTTCAAGGGGATCTGAGAATGGTTTAGATTCACAATTTTGTCCGCTGGACAACCCCTATTTTTTTAGGGCGGTACGAAGTTCGCTGGGTCAGCTAGTATAGTAATAACTTTTAAATAACTATCCTGTTTTAGATACAAACTTATATTCCATAAATGTAAAGGTATAATGTTAATATTACGATGACGTCACTTAGTTCGTTCCAGTAAAAAAAAGGAGGACTCCTTATCGGTCCACCCGCGGCCCGTCACCGCCTTGTTATTGCAAGTAATATGGGCGTTAGTTTGTTTTCTGAAGTGTTTATAATTCTCAAGTTCACTGCGTTACCTTTTATCAACATCAACCTATTAATGTCCCCAATTCTGGGGCACAGTCCTTCCCTATGGTCGGAATATAAAGAAACCCACAACGCGGGCCAGATTTGAATTGGTGGGTGCTAACGACTGCAAAAGCAGCCGGTTCCAATGGCTTAACGTCCTTCGGATGCACAGAGGAGCTCGAGATTATAAGCTTTTGGTCTTCTATCCAAAGTGCGGCCATTACGAAAGTTGCTTAATTTTCACGATCGCAAGCCGAACATGCTAAAAACCACTTGCACTAACAGGCTACTCATAGAGCTTTATCTTTAAAACGCATGATATTCTTTGGTTTTTAAATTAGATCCTTTACGAATTCAGGCCAACCTTACTGCATGTCTGTTTTGTGAACACGCGAACATCGATACTATCGATACACGCATGCATATTTAACACCCGCAATAACATGTGCAACGTGCGACGGCAATCGTTTAATTATCGAAGTCAGTAACCATTTATTAAATGCTCGGTAAGAATCGAGTGACGGAAAGAAAACCTCACGTGCACTTTCTATTGGCATGGCACACGGCGGGCGAATGTGAAAACGCTAGATAAAAACCGGAAAACACGACTGCATCAACCCTGCGATGAGGCATATAAAATACGAGTTTGCAACTGACGTTAATGTAAAAGATTAGAAGAAAAAAATTAAACATTGATAACAAAGGTCTTTAAAAGCGGCGATCTTTAAATTACACCTGAAGAAAATTGGAAATACTTTTATTTTGCACTGATAGGACCTACCTGGGTTTTCATTTCGGTAAATTTATATCAACACGAAGGTCACGTAAGGAAATATTGTGGGATTCTCTTAATTGATTCAAAACGTTTAAAATACAGGTAATGGACAGTAAAGGGAAACCAGTTCAGTAGATTATTATTATTTGACATTGGCAGTATCGTGGCACTGTACTGTGTGTATATACGCATAGTTTCTCCGACATTCGATCCTTTGATTTGTTACGCCCTCATCCAAACATTATCCGAAAAGGTGTTGGTTTACAACGAAGATTATGTTGTATTCCCTCGATATTGATTTACCTAAACGTCGGTCTAGGTATCTTATTACGATCGTAATACTAGTATCCACGTAATAGAAAAATGCGGGATTAAATAACCGATTCTCCGTTCAGATATAAAAGTTTATCAAACCGAATGAAAAACTGGCACAACTTTTACAAACAAAAGAAAGATTAATTATTAGGCCCACAGTGCGGTAAAAAGCTCGGTTAGTGCTATAAATTTATGCAATGTTAAGAGTGAGAGACAAAATAAGATTTCTTTTATATGGAAATATAGAAACATGCATGCGTCGAAGGTCCATTGAGTCATATTTGCAAATCAAGTATGTTGATGATATTACGCCAACTTTATGATTTTGCATTTGAATAACTTTAAAATGATCACAATTCTGGAATAAACTGATACATGTTTCAAACTAGGACGGGTAATAAAAAGCTACTGTATATGCAATCATGCATGCACATTTCGCCAGCAAGAAACAAATAAGAGTCCCACATACGCGCAACATATTTAGCAAGCGCATAAAATTACATCAAAATACGTTAATCATGTAGAAAGACCCAAAATCCAAGAAAGATGTCAAATAATGATTGACCGTTGTTTCAAAAATATTGTGACTTTGTTTGTTTGACTGTGATAAAGCTACACCACTCGCGGTCATCATGGCCCGCATCCATAGCACGCATCCTACCATATAAAAACATAGCTTAGTTGAACCCGTTTCCACCTGTGCTATGCTATGTGGACCAATTAATTTGATTGGTGGATATCAAACGCATCCATAGCAACGTAACAAAGCACAGCTCTGGTGGAAAAGCAGCCTTATTCTTTTGTGCTCTGAGCGAATTCACAAAACTAGCTGAGTGGATCAACGGTTTCAATTAATTATATTTCCAATGTGTTTGCTAATAAGTATTAGAATGTATTTCTTAAATGGATGTATCTATTGCCTTGGGTAAATACCTGCAATGATAGATATAAGTATTTGATATAAATAAATATTTTATATAGAACCCAGAATCCGAAGTACTGCTTATCATAATCCTCATTTGATAGATATTCTACACGTACACAACAAGCACTTTGCTTCATAAACATAATTCAACAGGGGTGCATGGGGAGGATGAAATAACAGTCTAAGTATGGATTCCTTAGTTCATAATATATACCAAATCTAATCAAGACATGAATGAATAGCCCATTTTTGGTATATTTGTTCCCTCGTCGACAATCGGTTTAATTCGAGGCCAAAAGTAAGCAGAACCATTAAAGAACTACACGAACGTCATCACCCAATAAATCACAATTTAAAATGCTGCATTTTGTTTTGTTCCTACACGTTCTCGGAGGAGATCCATTCAGTAGTGGATTTAGGATTTTGTGTGGATGGGGTAAATTATAGTACAATTACATATATAGCTTACAGGTAATAAACCGAATTTTCACAGCACTTACCTGTTGGCAAGTAATGAAGAGGGCAGTCCACACAAATATTCCGGCGATGACTTGTGCAGCCAAAGTCTGCAGGAATGGCTCTTGGGGCCTCAACATTTTGTGTACCACCTCGCTGAGCGGCTGCTCAGCCGTCACGGGCACTGTTTCGTTCATCCTGTGGCAAAAAATAAACTGCGTGAACTCGTGATGGTGAGCCGTGCGAAAAGGTTTGTTGACCTTCGACAATTGATGGGATGATAATGCCAGTTTGTTCGCAATAAAACTCTTATAATGGGTTAATTGTATTCAATAACATTAAATTGTTCACAATAAATTTTAACTATGTTTAATTTAATGCATTTTTGACAACAAAATACCCACCAAAAACTTAATGTGTAATTTATTTTACATTCAGTTTTTGGTGGGTATTTTATGTTTACTATGATTTTTTTAACGTGAATTTCAATTGCAATTTATTAATTTGCCAAATGTTTACATGTAAACAGTTTTTAAGTTTGCGTCATCAGTATTAAATATGGTTGATCAATAACGTCGCGTATAAATAATAAACGTATAAATTCATTATCTATTAAAACTTAAGTGTTACATTTATATTAGACTTTATTTTCATGCAATAAAATATTGATTGAGATATTTGCTACTGCTTGTGTTTGTTCATAAGCTGGCTTTCGTAGCCTTCAGCTTCTACTGAATTGATCAAGAGTACTATGTAACATGTAACACAAATACAATAAGGAAAAAGCTTGAATGACTGTGGCACTAAACAATTACAATCCCATGAGTACGCAACGTCATTGGAAACTGACGCAGCATTCAATTGAATAATGTGTTTTTTAAATCAATTTTACAATGTTATTTTATGCTGTAGTATGGACGCAGATGAAGGATATTATAAATCGTATAAAAGTCCAATAAAGCTCTGTATCTATATTTAGGACACAGGAAATTTACCCATACTGGCTATATCTAGTAGAAGATATGACCAGTATGGGTAAACCCTATGCGTGAACCTTTCAGAAGCTTCTTAGTCAATAGACTGACAATTTGGACGCGACCAAAAGTCATGGCTGTTTGTTTTTTTTTTGCTGGCCTAGACGTTCAACCCTCAATAGAGGGCTTGCTCTTGTATGGTGAGAGTACTTCACAAGGTGCAAGATCCCTTTCGAGGTATTCTACGTGATGTAGGTGCACCACCGACGGCCAGAAATGTAGTCGCAGAATAATAGACTCTTATTTTGTATATAGTACCAAGGAGGTTTGCCAATTTACTCCATCCCACCTAATTTGAAGTGTGAGCGAAATATACATATGTATAAGGGCGATTCTCTGTAACTGTCCCGATCGATTTTTTCAAAAAGTATTAAAATTATTTTTAAAAAGGTCACTCCTAATGAAACTTTAGCCCTGTAACATTACGGGCCCACTGTATTTAGAACCATACCTATTTTAAGTTTTTTTCTAGACGTGATAGAAGCTCTAAAAAAACAGTCCCCTAGCTGTCCCCATCACTGTATTCCCACCTAGTTATGAGATTTACGAAGAAGTTATTGCAACGACATAGATTTGACAGTTAATATTTCATCATCATCATCATCATCATCATCAACAGCCTATCATAGTCCACTGCTGGACATAGGCCTCTCCAAATGCACGCCACTCAGATCGATCTTGGGCTACTCGCATCCAGCTCCTGCCAGCCACCTTGCGCAAATCGTCACTCCATCGTGTCCTACACTACGTTTGCCTAGACGCGGTCTCCACTCCAGAACTCGTCTACCCCAACGGTTATCGGTTCTTCGGCAAATATGGCCAGCCCACTGCCACTTCAACTTGTTAATCCGGTGGGCTATGTCGATAACTCTGGTTCTCTGTCGGATTACCTCATTTCTGATGCGATTTTTCAGAGAAACGCCGAGCATAGCCCTTTCCAGCCCTTGCCAGAGCCTCGTCTGTTGGTCAACAGGGTGCACCACGTGAAGGTGAGGTTGGCTTGGGTTCTTGCAGGTGTATTTAGAACCCCTTACACCCCAATATTTCATCAAAAAAAAAAATTATATTACTTTCGTAAAACAATGTTTCATTACGTATTTTATTTATTAAGTAAAGTCCTGTAAACTTTGTCCCCAGAATTTATCATCCAATAGGATGATGATATAGCAGGAACGAGTTACATTCGGAATACATGTTCCAATGACACACAGTAAAATTGCTACGTGATGACTTAAGGAGCTCTGACGTGGCTGTTGACTATGGGCTTCTTATGAAAGCTCAGTGTCGCACATCAAGCGATGAAGAGAGCTATGATCGATGTTTTCTACGTGATCGAATCAGGAATGAGAATTCCGTAGAAGAACTAGAACAACCGACATAGCTATGTGCCATCTCCCATTGCCACTGCAGCTAAGTTGAAGTTGAAGCAATGCAGACGATAGTACAGTGCATGTCGAATATTCCGGACAGGCAACGACTGGACGGGTAGAACTCGAAGGCAAGGAGAAACAGGGTAATCATTTCATTGGCAGGTTTTGGGCATTCATTTTCCGAATGGGGTGCCGAAAATATGGATGTGTTTAATGCTAAGAAAATCCAGGTTTCGTGATAAAAACTTCGCCTTTCCTTCTCCTTCCTCTCTTAAGGACAACACTAGCGCTACTCAGGCTCGGTGTGGAAGTATGCTGAAACTTAAATCCAAAGAACTACATCAAAAGTGTGACAAAATCCGCCTCACGTATACACGCAGTCCTGAACAAATTTCTGAGTTTTTTCACGCCTTAGCAACTGTGCTTGTTGTACAAGACGCAAGCAGTCCTGCGTGGTCAGGTCACGTATATTTTAAAGATAACAACTAAAGCGAGCTTATTCGTATTGCAGTACAATTCGATTAAATTCATTCAAGCGTAGCGTTTCGTATTCGAGCGTACAGCATTCGCATCCTTGTCGCAGGATCTTTAAGAATCTAAGTGACAGTTCAGGAAGGGTGCCACTAGGGTTGCCACCCGTACTTTATTATAAAGTATTGTACGTTATTCCGGGTAATTGTACTCTATACTTTATGCCAACAATAAAGTACACGAAAATACTTTATTTAATGTGATTTGATTACTCGGGGATTAATTTTACATAAAATATACAAAAAGAGGTTAATAGGAAGAATTTCTGCGTAAAACGGACAGACAGTATGAATATGTCGCCCTTAGCCAACGACATTAGATACACCACGTCCGCTCAAAATGTGTCCCAATCAAGAAGTGCTTGAACACGACTCAAGCACTTCTTGGTTCACAGTCACGCGCCGACCGTTGAAAAGTCAGTTGCCGCAGAGCTCCGTGAAAAAATTTTTTCGTCAGGTATCTAATTAATGTTTGTCAATTCAACGCATTTGAAGAAAATTTTGTTCTAATACTTATCAAAAACTGATTTCATGGAAAATATTTGTTATATTCGAATGCATGGTCGGTAATATAGCCATCTCTTTGCCTCGAGGTCCGTACCTGCTATATTGCTAACAGCACATTTAGAATTGCGTGTAGTCAAATAAGGTCTATATTCTTCCGCGTATACCAATACGTCGTTAATATTACGAGCTTGCATTTCGAACTGTCATAACTCTCTGACGCATGCGTTTTAATTGAGACTTTATACTTTATGCATTAAAGGTGACTTTTAATGTTTACATAATGATTTATATAATTTTTGACTACGCGATCATCTTACGGAGCTCCGTGGATCGTCCAATCTATCTTTTGGTCAGGTTTCGGGCACGATTTTGTTCGTGTTGGTGTATCAAGGGTAATATCGTTGCCCTTAGCTAATTCCTGCAACATTTTCGTGGCTGTGTGGCCTTGTAATATGACCTTTCCCATTGCGGAAAAGAAATACAGATTTTTAGTAGCCACACATTATTTATTAAAAGTTGCTAGGAGCAACGTAAAATATATTTTTAAGCTTATTAATAAAGAGGAATAAAAAGTTCTTTATTTTGGACACAATGGAATTTCCTTTTTTACCTTAAATATCAAATGTACTTTATTTGGTCAAAAAAAAGGTGGCAACCCTAGGTGCCACTGCCAACCTTAATGAATTACATACAAAATATGACGTTTACAAAGACGGCGACGTTAGTTCCAATTTGCGCCACATTCATTATTATCCTTGTCGCACTCTGGCTTCTTAATTCATAGAGTTTAACTTTAAAGTCGCGCGAGCTGCGCGTAGACGTCAGAGGCTGATCTGCGCCACCGCATCCGAACGGACGACCGGATGGACAGTGTACGGATATGTGAACGAATTGGTCATGTTCACGAACAAAAGATCCTTAGGCGACTATCGGCTACCGAAACTTTTTAACACGACACTGAGGCTCTCCAATGAGGTAAAGTATCTAGGAATAACCCTAGACTCTAAACTGAACTGGGGATCTCACATAGATTAAACTACTATGAAGCCCAACATCATTTTCTGGCAAAGTCGTAAAATGATTAGCAAAACTTGGGAACTATCACCGCTCATTGTTAAGTGGCTGTACACGACCATAATTAGGCCCATCATCAGCTATGCAACAGTACTATGGTGGACCAAAACTAACCAGGTAAATTGATAAGTTAAGACGTCTCCAGAGGCGGGCATGCTGTGCAATCACCGGCTGCATGAAAACCACTCCCACTTCAGCACTGGAGACAATACTTAACATGAGACCACTACATTTGTTTATAGAACAGGAAGCTGCTTGTACAGCCACACGCCTAAGCATGCTGGGGCTATGGAGGGACAACAACTCCCCGCACAGCAGCATCATAGCAGACATACATAGGCACTTTCCATACTTTGCAGCAGTAAACAACCTTATTCCTAAGATGTACGTATTCGACAAAAAATATAAAATTAAACTTTATGAAAACACTCCGGACTGCTGTCTGCATAAGAAGCTGAGGGTCTACACAGACGGTTCAAAGACCAACTATGCTACAGGTTCGGGTGTCTTCTCCAAAGACCTAAATATACACATCTTGACAGCATTGGGAGCCTATAACATGGTCTTCCAGGCAGAATGTGTGGGCATCATCAGAGCCACTGAGGCGATAGATTGTCGCGAGATAAGAGGAAAACATATTCGTATTCTCTCTGACAGCACTTCTGTCCTACAGGCACTGGACAACAATATAATGACATCAGGCTTAATTTATGAATGCCACAGTAAGTTGACTAATATTGCTAATGACAATAGATTGACCTTACAGTGGATTAAAGGACACAGCGGCTCAAGGGGTAACGATGCGGCGGACTGCTTGGGGTTCCAGCAGAACGGCAATGGTCCGGAGCCAATTATACCCATACCCTATCGACAGCTGCGAACCTGGATAAGAGAGAGCTCTCAGCGACAACACGACAACTACTGGTCAAAACTCACGGACTGCAGGCAAGCTAGGGAAGAGTTCCTAAGGTAAACCTGCAGCTAACACGTAAGTTAATCAGACTACCTAGACAAGCCCTAAAACAAATCGTGGGAATACTCATGGGTCACAGCTACTACAACAAACACCTTTGTAATATAGGTATTTCTGACAGCCCTTTGTGCAGAGCCTGCCTGGAGGAGGATGAGACGAGCGCCCATGTCCTACTGGATTGCAGGGGCGTTGCAAGACATAGGACTTCTCTAATGGGAAGCCCAAAGACAATAGTAGAGGCCTGCAGCAACATTCCGGGACTGCTGAGCTTCCTGGAGGAACTGGGATGGCAGGACTGATGCCAATCCCCACGCAAAATAGGCACTGGGTGTCGAGTTGCGGAAACAGCCCTTCGTACTAAATTATATAAAAAAAAAATCTCTTTTATCCATTCATTCCCTTACAATGTATAACTGCAAAATAAAAGTTAGCAAATGGCTGAAAGGAGGTATATTACCCTAGCGTAACAATTTCATAAGTCCATATCCTAAAGTATATAGTATTTTGTTGCTAATTTGTTGCTATTTTGTGCCGCAAGAATTGATTTTGTTGCTTAATGATTTCTCGGAAAAACGCCAGTTACGCTAGCGTAATATTACGCTAGCGAAACCACAGCGATAACTCGGAGGCAAAAGCAGTTAGAGAGATCAGATGAACGGCATATTTTGTTGCTATTTTGTTGCTGTAAGATAAGCTGGTTAGATATGAAAAATCCCCCCCCCCCCTTCATGGGGGGCTAACTACCCTAATTCATAGATATTTCAGATTTTTCGTATCTCGTGAACTAAAGCAGCTAGCGGCACGAGACAAACGGCGTATTTTGTTGCTTTAAGGTAGGCATGCTGCGTACATCATAATCACAACCCTTATCGGGGTATGACCAACCCCCGACCCCAAGACACCAGATATTTCGTATCTCTTGAGCTAAAGCAGCTAGCGACCCGAGACCAACGGCGTATTTTGTTGTTATTTTGTAGCTATAAGATAGGCATGCTGCATACATCATAATCACAACCCTTATCGGGGTATGACCAACCCCCGACCCCGAAGACATCAGATATTTCGTATCTCGTCAGGTAAAGCAGCTGGCGACCCGACACTAACGGCGTATTTTGTTGCTTTAAGATAGGCATGCTGCGTACATCATAATCACAACCCTTATCGGGGTATGACCAACCCCCGACCCCAAGACACCAGATATTTCGTATCTCGTGAGCTAAAGCAGCTAGCGACCCGAGACCAATGGCGTATTTTGTTGCTTTAAGATAGGCATGCTGCGTACATCATAATCACAACCCTTATCGGGGTATGACCAACCCCCCACTCCAAGACACCAGATATTTCGTATCTCTTGAGCTAAAGCAGCTAGCGACCCGAGATCAACGGCGTATTTTGTTGCTATTTTGTAGCTATAAGATAGGCATGCTGCGTACATCATAATCACAACCCTTATCGGGGTATGACCAACCCCCGACTCCAAGACACCAGATATTTCGTATCTCTTGAGCTAAAGCAGCTAGCGACCCGAGACCAACGGCGTATTTTGTTGCTATTTTGTAGCTATAAGATAGGCATGCTGCGTACATCATAATCACAACCCTTATCGGGGTATGACCAACCCCCGACTCCAAGACACCAGATATTTCGTATCTCTTGAGCTAAAGCAGCTAGCGACCCGAGACCAACGGCGTATTTTGTTGCTATTTTGTAGCTATAAGATAGGCATGCTGCGTATCATCTGGTGTCTTGGGGTCGGGGGTTGGTCATACCCCGATAAGGGTTGTGATTATGATGTACGCAGCATGCCTATCTTAAAGCAACAAAATACGCCGTTGGTCTCGGGTCGCTAGCTGCTTTACCTGACGATATACGAAATATCTGGTGTCTTCGGGGTTGGGGGTTGCTCATACCCCGATAAGGGTTGTGATTATGATGTATGCAGCACGCCTATCTTATAGCTACAAAATAGCAACAAAATACGCCGTTGGCTCGGGTCGCTAGCTGCTTTAGCTCAAGAGATACGAAATATCTGGTGTCTTGGGGTCGGAGGTTGGTCATACCCCGATAAGGGTTGTGATTATGATGTACGCAGCATGCCTATCTTAAAAAATCTGAAATATCTAAGAATAAGCGTAGTTAGCCCCCCATGAAGGGGGGGAATTTTTCCATATCTAACCAGCTTATCTTACAGCAACAAAATAGCAACAAAATACGCCGTTTGTCTCGTGCCGCTAGCTGCTTTAGTTCACGAGATACGAAAAATCTGAAATATCTAAGAATAAGGGTAGTTAGCCCCCCATGAAGGGGGGGAATTTTTCCATATCTAACCAGCTTATCTTACGGCAACAAAATAGCAACAAAATATGCCGTTCATCTGATCTCTATAACTGCTTTTGCCTCCGAGTTATCGCTGTGGTTTCGCTAGCGTAACTGGCGTTTTTCCGAGAAATCATGGAGCAACAAAATCAATTCTTGCGGCACAAAATAGCAACAAATTAGCAACAAAATACTATATACCTTAGGATATGGACTTATGAAATTGTTACGCTAGGGTAATATACCTGCTGAAAGGTATGGATTACGAAGAGATGAGAGTATTTAGTAAATAATTAGAACACTTTATTGTGTAATTAAACACAGCAGCAGTTAGTTATTGGTGGTTTCTGTTATTTGTTATTTTTATAACTAGTAATAATCATACAACCAATGTGTGCACACCTAAATCGGCCACAGTATTTATGTACATAGAGGGGACCCTGTTGCCTATAATACAGGTTATCCTACCACTGGCAACAGAAGTCGCCTTTAACAATATTGAAGCTCCAATATGCCTATTGTCACCAATTTTTGTCTTATTAATTTAAAAATATTGTATATTGTAACTTGCTTAAATAATAATAATAATATTCTTTATTGTTATACACCATACAAGACACACAAGTAAATTAAAAACATGAAAGATAGAACGCACACAATATAGGCAGCAATCTCTGCCAGGCAACCCATAAAAGAAAGATAAATAAATATAAAGGAGAAAAGGAGGGGTGTAATAGAAAATAATAATAATATCAAAGGAAGGAAAACAGCTATACCTAAGGAAGGAAAGAGAGAGAATGAGAAAAAAATTTAACATTATTGTTGGGATAGGAAATAACTCCGAACTTGAATACTAAATGAGTTCAGAGGGCGAACTTTTCGAATAGTTTCTGGCAATAAGTTCCATAGTCGTACAGAATGCACAGAATACTTATAGTCAATAAACATTTTATTTATTTATTATAATATGACTGAGCTAATTTAGGTGATTTCAGAGCACCCTTTTCTCACTTCTATATGCAGGTACATCATTTCCTTCCTGTTCCCTTTTTTTATTTAATTTCCTCATGTATTATTAGTGTCTATTATTGTATTATTTAGTATTTATGTAGTTGTGAGCAGCAACTTATATAAACATTATATCTATGTGTCTAATGAACCTATACTGAATATGGATGAATTAGTCTATTATAATATCCTCATTTGAAGTTGTTACCAATTACAATTTTATATTTTTATGTAAAAAAGTTCTCTATTTCAATTCATCGGCACCTGCTGCTTTACTTATATAAAACAAGTGTTGTTGTGTCTGAGTTTGAAAGACAGTGTTTGTTTGTGTGTGTGTGCTTACAGTGAAGATAAATTCAGTCCAGACTTTTAAAAATCATTTTCTGTTACAAATTAGGTAGTTAAATTTTTTGATAATGTTTCTTTGGACAGAAATTAAGAAATGTTTTAAATTTGTTTTTTCATACAAAACATGTTATTTTTTATTCTGACTCTGATATACTCAACATGTAGATTTAGGTAATAAAATGCCATAACTAAGTGGTATCAAAGGTAAAAAATGTACATAATAAATTAAATTTTTCAAATCAGTTTCTAATTATCTTCAACACGGTAGTAATTAAGATGCTCAATCACCATTTCACATCACCTACATGTTAATTGGGGCAGTTATTCCTTGGAATATAAACTGTTCGATTTCAACAAAATGCTTTCTATAAATGTTTACTATCATATCATAATAAAACATGACAACATTCACGGAACAACTAAATTGGAGGTCACACGTCTTGACATTTTCTTGTTTGGGGTACCTACTTCTTCAGTGAATGGCGATGCTTTTGTTAGTGACGTGTGAAAACATTATCCTATTGTTCTAATGAGACGTCTGTATTATATGACATAAATATATTTACCTTGATTGAATTTGTGAATGTTTATTTGTACTGTTTTTCTTTCGTTACCAGATGTCATTCGTAATCAACACCAACACACTGCACATATTGTTTGAACATCCACACGCAAGATTCTCTTTGATTTTTATTAAATACAGTTTAACGAAGCACATAAAAAAACTATTAATCAAAAAACTACAATTGTTTCTTCACTTTCACTATTTTTAAATAAATTCACTCCCTACACTTCACAACTCACAATCGCGATTTTTTTTATGACGGACGAATTTTACCATAGACGTAGACCTACTACAGAACCTAGTTATCATATTAATCTGTGGTCCACGTAATATGACTAACAGCCGGCACTTCACCTGGCTATTTATGTTTGCTTTTTGTAAAGTTGACAACAGTCTGTCCTTATCACGCTTTTTAAAGAATGAAAAGGACAGAGTCATGTCAATTTTACAAATAGAAAACAAGAATAACCAGGCGAAGTACCGGCGTAAGGCTGTCATAGGCCAAATCGCAAATCCTTTCACAAATCCTGAAAATGGTGTCGATCTAGCGTGATTCTCTAAACATAAAACTAAATTTTAAATCAGTCTCTCCTTTTAATTCTGTGTAAAGAATGACAAGGATAAACTGTTGTCAAATTTAATTTTTGGTTAAGAGTATCACGCCAGAATCGACACCAATGGCGTCGATTCTAGCATGATTCTCTAAATCTAAACTTAAATTTGACAGCAGTATGTCCTTGTCATTCTCTATACAGAATGAAAAGGAGAGACTGATGTTAAATTTAGTTTTAAGTTTAGAGAATCACGCCAGAATTGGCACCAATATCTATCTATACTAATATTATAAAGAGGAAATATTTGATTATTTGTTTGTTTGTATTGAATAAGCTCCGAACTACGGGTCCGATTTGAAAAAAAAAAACACGTTTAGAATCCTACATTATCCCTGATGAACATAAGCTATAGAGTATTTTCAAAAAAGATTATAAAAGGATACAAAAACTTCAATAACAACCCGGGGTGTGAAAAAATGCCAATAACGAACCTTAAATCGCTTACGCTGCGAAAATCATTAACAGTAGAGCAAAGTGAAGTATTAAAATTTTATAGAGAACATCAACTGTTACAGTTATGTCACAAGTCACAACTAAAGGTCCCCTTTTCGGCGGCGGTTTCACTCGCGTTAATTTTAGAAAAAAAGTTATAGTGAACCAAACTTAAAAGATGGGCATAATTATGCTATCGCGGACTTTTTTTTATAGAACTTTTAAAGAGGAACAATGCCGCCATACATGACTTTTGTGTAACTTTAATCATTTACGCAGCGCACGCAACGGAAGCTCAGAAATGGTATATTTTTATCCGTTTTTGCAACATTTTACATCGAAGTTCCACTCGAAGCGAAGCGAGGATGAGCCACTAGTAGAGTATAAAGTTAGTTAATACATTTAATTTGAATAGGTTTTTGTAAATTTTTAAATGTTTGCATGTTTGCTTTATAAATTTACAAATGTTTGCATGTTTTCTGAATGCTATCATGAAATGCTAGACTTGCATGATTTGGTGGGCAGATTGTTGGCAGTGTATGTCTTTATCTAGTTATAAAGAGACTGAAAAATAGAAACTACTGTTAATTTATTAAGCTGTGCCGTTCGCTACGGTACTAAAATTATTAATTGGCAATCATTGGGTTGATGGATTAATTTATTTGTTGCCTTGTTTTGTTTGTCTGTTAAAGTAGCTGGTTAGCTCCAACTTTAAGTTAGGTACCCTAAAATCGCAAGGTATTGGTATCGATTCTGGCATTATTCTCTAAAACTAAACTTAAATTTGACAACAGTGTATCCTAGTCATTCTCTCTACAGAATGAAAAGGAGAAACTGATGTTTAATTTAGTTTTAAGTTTAGAGAATCATGCCAGAATTGGCACCATTTTAAACGTTTTGCAAGTTATCATGGAATTTTTATTATGGCTGGCAATACCAATTTTCTGCTTTCGTAACATTATTTCATCCTCCACCCATAGACAATCTACTACTAACTGAAAATGAAAATGTCCGTCGTAAAAGATATGTTCTAATTTACCTACTTTGTGGATGTGTATTAATCGTAGCATGCGATATGAAATAGTTTTAATATTTACTATCCTAGAGACGCTTAATTATCAATAAAATGATTGTCCAAGAACCCATACAGGTAAGCTAACTGTGACGATATTTCAGAACTGTCATTCCAATATTATTTGCATCAGATTAACAGACTAACCTTTTAAATTTCCAACAGGTAATTGTTTGGGATTGCCTCAATAATTATGAATACGACAATGCTATATTTCTGGCTGAGAGGTTACACGCTGAAGGTAATATTTTTGATACTTTTCTTACCCTCAAACAAGCTCTTGAATAATGCACTTTCTTTTTTGTTTTATTTATCGATTTTTGCGTAGTTTAAAGCTGGGCGAAAATTTATCTTTATCAATATATTGTCTTTACGCTTTTACAGTGGCATCAGAAGAAACTGCGTTTTTGTTGGGAACTTGCTACTATAGGGCTGGACGTGTGAATGAAGCTCATCATTTGCTACAAAACACATCACTATCGCTACCACAATCTAGGTTCCTGCTAGCTAAATGTTCAATAGATTTAAAATCGTAAGTTGTTTAATATTATTTTCAAAGCAAATTGTCTATTCAGCAAAACTGACCAATAGGATTTAATTTAACATGACAAAACTTGGCCACCCTGTCTAATAAATGTAAGAATTTTGTTTCCAACACAGCCCCCCTTCATATATCGTAATGCTAAAGTAAATTCCAGTAAATTGTAATTAATATAAATACATAAGATAAAATTGACTTTTTGGACAGGAAAAACTAAGTGGATTTTGTATTATTAACTAATTTTGATTTACTGATATTTTTTCCCTTAAGTAATTATTATTATATTAATTACTATATAAACAAATTGTTATTGGTGTTAGGAAAAATATTTTGGGCTATTCAAAAGAGTCATATTTAGTCTTTCAATTTGAATGAAAATGTTTTTTATTTTTTTTTATTTTATAAAGAAAGATTACTTACATACATTCAAATTGTATATTATTCCAAGTTGTAACTTTGTTAGTACACAAAATCTACTTTGTTGGCTTGTTCTGCTCATACTTAAGGCGCTGTGAATGCCATTCTAAAGGCTTTACTGTATAATAAATACAATATGTAACTTTGCCGAGCATCTTACATTCTTAGGTGTTTGTCCACCGCCTCCATCATCAGACCATCACTGAGGATTAGATTATTTTAGGCTGAATTTAAAATAACTTGGGCAATTGTGTGTCCACCATACCAATATCGATGGTATATATTTGGACACATCCTTTCTTTTATCCCACAAATAGTCTTCACACTCTATACCTTCAATTAATGTTTAAATATCATATTTGAATTACTTCGCTTTGTTTTAATGATGATATTATTTATGATCCTCCTCCTTGCATTGTGCTCCTCATTGCTGAGGGTTGTAACCTCCATGAATTATTTTGTGGATGAGGCTTTCCACTAGTTGTGGTCTTGGGCAGTGCGTAATGGACTCTAGTTTTGGTGTTGTAGCGAATCTGGTCAGTCCAGCGCATGGGGCTTCTTCCTCTTGGTTGCCTTCCCTGTACTTTTCCCGTCACCAGGAGCATTTCCAGGGTATCGTTTTTCTTCCTGGCTATGTGACCGAAGAATTCGAGAATCCTACGTAAACAGACTGGATAGCCTAACAGTGACTCCCACTTCTTTAAGAATTGACGCATTTGTGCGGTGGGCTGTCCACGGAACTCGTAACATTCTCCTCCAGCATCACATCTCAAATGCGTCAATGCGAGATCTGTCTGCCTTCTTGAGGGTCCAAGTTTCCGCACCATAGTAGAATATGGTGAACACCAAGGCTCCCACCAGGACAATCTTGGTTTTTAGTGGGATCTATCTATCTATCTGTCCAGATCCTGCCTAGTGGATTCATCATGCTTTTTGCCGTTCTAATCTGCTTCCGAAAGTCCGGTTCGCATGAGCCATCACATGGTAGAGCCAAGGTACACAACTGTCCAAATATTGGAGATTGAGTATCCCACTGAGCTCCAGTTGCCTTGTGCGATCTAGAACCATGACTTTGATTTTCGATTTGTTGATCGTCAGGCTAAACATTGGGTGTTTATCCAGGCATGATTCACTAAACCCTCAAATTAAATTTGTGTATCCTTTTCATTCCCTACACTGAATGAAAAGGATAGACTGATCAACGTTCCTGAGGGATTCTCAAAAACTAAAGTTAATGTGGACGAAGTCACAGGTGACCGCTAGTATAATACTATTTTTATTATATGTCTGCTCAGCTCAGCGCCGCACCCGCCCTCTTGGTCCTGGCGCCCTAGGCTCAAGCTTTATTAGCCTGTGAGTAAATCAGGCCTTTTTTTTTTATTACGCAGGTAAAAAATGCTATTTACAGACGACGGCGCCTTTAAGAGGCACACCGCCGAACGGACCTCACACCTGGCTTCCACAAGTCTTACGGGCGCCCCAGTGGCTGTCCACCGAGGACCCCGCAACTCTTACGGGCGCTTTACGGCATAATATCCGCTACAAAAGTCCTGCGAATACCCTCTAAGCTGCTTAGCGCGAAGCCGCGGGATCCCCGTTTAGGGATTCCTCCGCGTCTGAGTAAATCAGGCCTTGGGTCGCAGCTCAAAAATGCGCTCAATTCGCTCGTATGTCTTTTTCAGTCTTGTTTTTCAACCATCTTGGTGTAGGCCTCCCTGGTCAATTTCCATTCATTGCGGCATTGTGCCCTCTTTTTCCAATTCGATCAACAACCTTCAACAAGCAACCTTCTTCACGTAATCCTTCAAGCACATCTGTGATCTTCCTTGCGTGCGCTTTTAACCCTACCGCTTTCATTCTAGGAAACGTTCCCTCCACCAATTTTCATTTCAAGCTAAATTTCCAGCCCCCTTCTATTTAATGGATTGTGCTATTCGTTTTTTTCATCTGCAACTGATTGTTTCTCGTTATATTGTTCATAGGAGCTATCCATAACAGTGTACTCTGTACCCTAACTCCGTCAATGCGCCGCGACCCGCTGCAGCCCGACATAATATGACATTAAATTGATGTTTTATTATTAAAGTTTGATTTACATAAATGTTATCCTCAGTCTAAAGGTAACTTTAGACTGAGGATAACATTTATGTAAATCAAATACCAAACGTTTTTTTAAAGCTAGGGGTTTTGGAATTTCCTCAAGCACACATTTACTTAGGTATATTACCCTAGCGTAACAATTTCATAAGTCCATATCCTAAGGTATATAGTATTTGGTTGCTATTTTGTGCCGCAAGAATTGATTTTTTGCTCCAAAATTTCTCCAAAAGCGCCTGTTAGGCTAGCGTAATATTACGCTAAACCACAGCGATATCTCGGAGGTAAAAGCAGTTAGAGATATCAGATAAACGGCATATTTTGTTGATATTCTGGTTAGATATGAAAAAATATAAGCCCTTCATGGGGGCTAACTACCCTTATTCTTAGATATCTCAGATTTTAGGTATCTCGTGAACTAAAGCAGCTAGCGGCACGAGACAAACGGCGTATTTTGTTGCTATAATATAGACATACTGCGTACCTCATAATCACAACCCTTATCGGGGTATGACCAACCCCCGACCCCAATACACCAGATATTTCGTATCTCGTGAGCTAAAGCCGCTAGCGACCCGAGACCAACGGCTTATTTTGTTGCTATAAGATAGGCATGCTGCGTACATCATAATCACAACCCTTATCGGGGTATGACCAACCCCCGACCCCAAGACACCAGATATTTCGTATCTCGTGAGCTAAAGCAGCTAGCGACCCGAGACCAACGGCGTATTTTGTTGCTATAAGATAAGCATGCTGCTTACATCATAATTACAACCCTTATCGGGGTATGACCAACCCCCGACTCCGAAGACACCAGATATTTCGTATCTCGTGAGCTAAAGCAGCTAGCGATCCGAGACCAACGGCGTATTTTGTTGCTATTTTATTGCTGTAAGATAAGCTGGTTAGAAATGAAAAAATATCAGCCCTTCATAGGGGGCTAAATACCCTTATTCTTAGATATCTCTGATTTTTCCTTATGTTAGCCCTTCATGGGGGCTGATATTTTTTCATATCTAACCAGCTTATCTTACAGCAACAAAATACGCCGTTTGTCTCGTGCCGCTAGATGCTTTAGTTCACGAGATACGAAAAATCTGAGATATCTAAGAATAAGGGTAGTTAGTTAGGGCTTATATTTTTTCATTTCTAACCAGCTTATCTTACAGCAATAAAATAGCAACAAAAATCGAAGTTGGTCTCGGGTCGCAAGCTGCTTTAGCTCACGAGATACGAAATATCTGGTGTCTTCGGGGTCGGGGGTTGGTCATACCTCGATAAGGGTTGTGATTATGATAGCGTAATATTACGCTAGCGTAACAGGCGTTTTTCGGAGAAATCTTGGAGCAACAAAATCAATTCTTGCGGCACAAAATAGCAACAAAATACTATGTACCTTATGGACTTATGAAATTGTTACGCTGCGTGAACAGTGTAGCTGCACATCAGGTTATGATGGCTTAAATGAAGAGAATTTCTTTCATATTTCTATCTATACATACAATAATTTCAATTATTATTAATTTTCAGGTACAAAGATGCAGAAGTGGCATTAGGATCAAATTTAGACCTCGTAGCTTCAGAGTTTGGAGAACAAGCACCATATGCTTTACAACTACTTGCCAAAGTATATAACACCACTGAAAGGAGGGGTAAAGCTGCTGAAGCACATAAGAAAGCGTTATCATTAAATCCATTTATGTGGAAATCATTTGCCCAACTATGTAACATGGGAGAAAAAGTGGATCCAAACCATGTATTCCAGATAAATGCTGAATTTTCATTTGGTGTGTCCACATTAGTAAATCTAGTCAGCAACTCGGAAAATATTTCCTTCATTAATACTAACATTCCTAGTAATACAAATTTAAATACCAATGTCACACCAAATAATGTTGTAACCCGAACTCCTATGACCATGTCTACAAGCATCACTCCAGAGACACAAGCTCCTATGAAGCGAATGCATAGTGTTTTCAGTGGAATAGCACCTGTACCATTTTCACCGTCTTTCGGAATGTTACCAATGGAAGAATCTCCTGTACTGTATACTCCAACACTGACTGATTCTAATGAACAGAAAGCTATCCCAAAAATTGTAAATTCATTAAGAGCACAGATGGGTCAACTTAAAGATGCAGTATTTAGTCCAGCACCTCGATGCACGCTTGGACCAGCACCTAGACGGTCTTCCAGGCTGTTTAGTAATAATAATAGCAGTTACTCAGTAAAAGAAAATAATAAATCACCAAGCAGGAAATTTGTAGCTCCTAAAAGTCCTTCAAGAAAGAATAAACAACGCACCGCTAAGAATATGAAAACAAATGCAGTTGATACAAATGAAAGAAATAAAAGCATGGAAACTGTTACACCCTCAATCACACCAAAGAATTCTAACGGTGTAGCATTATTAAATTTATTGAAAGAACTAGGTGAGGCTTATAAATCATTAGCTGTCTTAGATTGTAAAAATGCAATTAAGTTATTTCAAGATGTTCCCCCTAAACAATTGGCTTCACCATGGGTGCAAACAATGATAGCTCGAGCTCACTATGAACTAGCTCAATATGAGGCAGCAGCAAAGATTTTTGCTGATATTCGAAAACAATACCCCTGCCGTACTGAAGGCATGGATATTTATAGTACCTGTTTATGGCATCTCCAAAAAGAAGCTCAGTTGTCAGCTTTGGCTCAAGAATTAGTCGAGCTTAATAGAACCGATCCTATTGCCTGGTTAGCTGCAGGCAATTGTTTTTCATTACACAAAGAACGCGAGACTGCTCTTAAGTTTTTCAAAAGAGCTGTTCAAATAGATCCAGATGCATCATACGCTCATGCACTCTTAGGGCATGAATATGCTGTAGCAGAAGAGACAGATAAGGCTCTTGCAAGCTTTAGAACCGCTGTTAGTATTGATCCTCGCAATTATGTTGCTTGGTTCGGTATTGCAACAGTTTATGCGCGTCAAGAACGTTGGAAGCAGTCAGAAGTGCATATTCGTCGCGCGCTCACAATACACCCTCATTCTGGTGTACTGAGATGTCAGTTGGGGTTGGCACAAGCAGCCTTAGACAAAACTGATCGAGCCCTAGCTACTCTCGAAAGGGCCGTTGCTTTAGACACTGAAAATCCACTTTGTCGTTTCCACAGAGCATCAGTGCTCCTACGGGCCGGAAGGCCTCAAGAAGCCCTAACAGATCTACATTATCTAAAAGATATAGCTCCAAGGGAGTCTTTAGTATATTATTTACTTGGTAAAGTTCATAATAAATTAGGCAATACTCACTTGGCTCTGATGCACTTCAGTTGGGCGACTGATCTAGATCCTAAAGGCACCGGTGGGCATATAAAGGAAGGTTTCGATCCATCTAAACAAGAAGACCCTACAGAGAGATCGTAATTTAGTTGACGAAAGATAAAGGATTGCAAGCTGGCCTACCCTGTTGTTGGCAGTGCAGTCATTTTTGACTGATCCCTTGTAAATATCGCGCTCACCTATCGATCTCAAGATTGACACCAAATTCTTCCAAATAAATAGCTTTATGGGATTCGATAGGTGCGTGGTGGCATTTAATTGCTGTAGTAAATAAGGGCGTTGTGGAAATGTTTATATAGTGTAAGATGTGGATATTCCTAATATTATCCTAGTTTATTATATTATATCTTGTATAGCTATAATAAATAACAGAATGGAAAAATATGATTTTTAAAGAGAAGCTTTGAAAATCAGAAGACGCAGGGCCTTGATCTCATTGGAAAGTTCTGGTTTGTAATAATTCAATATTATAAATAATTAACGTTGAAAAATATATTGTAATTGCCATAGAAAATTCGTGATATCTTACTATACAGCTAACTAGGTCGAAGTCTTGGTTTGTAGTACCTATCTACATACTTTACCGTAACCTTAATAAGCAAACGTAGTAATGCCACTGTTATTGTCAATTCATACTAGCGCAGAAGTGCATCGTAGCTAATTTCGGAAACAGTAACAGCAAATTCATTCTTATCTCTGTAACTAATCTGATATATTCTGAGCAGATAAATCAACTGAATTCGCGCGTCATCTTTTTATCTCGAAGATGGAATATGTATATTACGTTGCGGAGATAAGGGTGAATTTGCTTTGTTACGTTTCTGAAATTCGCTTCAATGCGCTTCGACTTTACGCTAGTATATTGGGGATGACGACTTACTTTTTTTATTAGATTATCAAAAAGTATAGTACACGTATTTTTTCTTTTCAAACATTAGAGATACTACGTATATTGATTTGAAATGTCGCATGAAGTCACGTCTTGGTGCAATTTTTACGATGACGTCACGAGCCCCCACTACCAAACTTGACGCGCTTTGTCATTTTTTGGTTGATTGACAAAGGTAAAAATATTTGTCCATTATTTTTTGATAATTTAACTGACGGGCTAAATAGAATTTCGTTTAATATATCCCGTCATCATCCCTATTGACCGTTAAAGATTTGTTAAAAAAATTTGGATGGGACTAACTTATCCACAGCAATAATAATAATATTAAGTATTTGACAAGCAAACTCGATACCATATATTTTTGGGAGATTATGGACAGTTTTACCAAATCCTAATAGTTATTTCACAAAAAACTGTCTGATAGATGAAAGTTGTTGATACCAGGAAATATTCTGACAGACTATCTTGAATCAAGACCTGTGAAACCAAATTTTTTAGTTATCTGGCGTATAAGTTCTGCCCCCTCTAGCATGAACACCGAAACGCGATATTATAAAGCGATATATCGGCATTAACTGTCAGACTACAGTGGAGTTTGACAGTAGGCTGACAGTTAATACCGATATATCGTTTAATCATATACTGTTTCGGTGGTCCTGCTAGAGGGGCTGAATAGGCTATCAGAGACTTTTATAAGGAAGTGGTAAAACATGTCCTAAATATTAATAATTTTTCTGACAGTCTCCAGTAAACAGTATTAAAATAAAGTCTCGATTTAAACATTTCGTCTATTGCCTAGATTCCTGTAAAATCGCAGGAAATGGAGATCTGCGGTTTGCTTATTGAGGGCCTGTTATAAATTGAAAAGGAAGGATTTATACTGAGCCTGCAGAAATTGGTACAGTATGTTCCAGGTTGAGAACCGCTGGCGGTATTTCTTTGACAGCTTATTTTGTCAATCATGTTAGTATTCTATTGTTGTTATTTTTTTTTATGAACTTAGACCCTTTAAATCAATTTAATGCATGTAAGACATATTTCATTGTTAAAAAGTGACGAAAGAAAATATTTCCCGCTTTAAGTGTTAGATAATTCGAAAGTCATTATGGTAACCATTTTTCTGACATATACAGATACAATAAGTTGATGAATAATAATACTATGAAAGTTAATTTTGTAAATGTAAGCAATAACAAAAAAATATAATATATAATAATAGCACTTGTCATATCTCATTACCAATGAACCGCTCGCTCTGTGGACAGACTCGTTTAGACCACCTCTAATTATGTATGTATGAACTTATTAAATAAAACTGATGAAATAATTGATTTATGTTTTATATTTCACTTAAGTTATGTTGACAATAGAATACCTGTACCTACCTAATACTACTGGCCAACAAAATATCAATCCTTTGTTTAATTATTTGTTATTAAATCTCTGTAAAATTAATAAATGCATTTCTTTATAATCACAAAAAGTGGGATATGATTTTCTGATGGCCAGTGTCTTAAAAACTCATGACAAGACTTGTACAATACAATAAATATACATTCAGTTTTACATTCAAACGCTATTATAGCGTTAAATAAACTCAATGATCGAGATTTGCAGTGCCTCCAGTGTTTTAATAGAACCAAGTAACTAGTTTGATACACAAAATTAAGCACTGAAGTATAATCTAAATTATACATTTTTTTCTTTACATGGAATACTCAATCATCGAGTTTTGCAGTGCCTCCAGTTTTTTTAATAGAACCAATTAACTCTTTTTATCTTTCTATAATCTTTACTATACATTTTTTCAAGTTTTACTAGGTACTTTTTCAACGTTGACATTCACACACATCAGTGTCTGAATACCATTAGTCCAGGCAACGAATGCTCAAAAACAGGTATAGAGGGAAATGCTTGGAACACAATTTTTGACTTCGTAACTTTGTTAGGACTAGTTAGGAGGTAAACATATTAAAAGTCCCCGCCCGTAGCCCTTAAGCCGGGGGGAAGGGGAGGATTGAAGGTCCCATTTTTAGGTTTTTCGCATATATCTTGGAAACTATGCATCCTAGCGACTTTAACAAAAGTGAAAGTTGATTAAATTTGCTACAAGTCTTATTCAGTCAAGTTTTTTATATCTTGTATAGTTTTCGAGATATCCGCTCTTGTAAGTCTGTAATTATGGAAACAAAATTTGCTACCACTTCCTGGGAATGCTATTTTACTGCTCCCTCGGTGGGCGGAAGACAAGAGATATCAGGCTTGATGGTGGCCACTGATTTCAAGCATGACTTGTACCTGTAGGCATTGAGGGAAATCTCTTTCGCTGGAGCTCCATACCACCTTAAGATGCAGGTTTCACCTGCCTTTTGTACTTGAGCGGTGGTGGAGAAAGGGTGTGAAAAGACCGCTGCTGCTTTCTAGATTTCTGGTGACTTGATAATGTCTCTCTGGGAAGGGAGGAAATTTCTCAAACCAATCGGTGAGCTTGGCAATGTCAGCTCCATCCTTGTTTTTGTTGTTCAATCCCCCCCCTTCCCCCCAGCTTAAGGGCTACGGGCGGGGACTTTTGATATGTTTACCTCCTAACTAGTCCTAACAAAGTTACGAAGTCAAAAATTGTGTTCTAAGCATTTCCCTCTATACCTTTTCGTTGCCTGGATTATATATAACATAATCCAAACAAATCACAATACAACAGTAGAACAAATCGCCGAATTTCATACATTACAATTTAAATTATCTTACTGAGAATCTTACTCAATGGATACTTGATAATTTTTAATCATTATAATAAAAGCTGTTATGTCTGTCTGTGAGATATAAATCAAAATTCCGAAGACACCACACTACTGTACAGAGCCAAAACCATACCTAGCATCTCATAAAACACGACTACAAATAACTTTAAAATCCGCTTGAAATAAGTGTTATTTTTTTGTGTCATTACTATACTATAAACATATGACTAAAGTTCTGCACAGAAACATACATTTTATTATAAGTCTAATTAAAGTTTAAGTCTAATTAAAGTTAATGCTTTTACTTTCTTTGCGTCAGCAATACAATACAACCACCAGTCATTTGTTTTCTATATAATGGCAATTTCATTACTACCGTTCATATACTGTTATGTTATTATATTTTTAATGTATTGATAAATAAGAATTATTTTTGGAAACATTAATTGTAATTGAAGTTTGTATACGGCAGTAAAAGCATTAAATTAAATTAAAAATCTTTGAGTGGGGCACTTCCAGCCAGCCATTACTCTAAAAGTAGAACATTAAAGAGTCCAGTCACAAATCACGTTTATTAATTCTATGTAAATTTCTGAAGGATCGAGTCTAGGGCTTTTCTGACTGTCGGATCGTTGAGCAGTTTGTTCTGAGCTGGTGCTGGAGGAGGCGGGGTTGGTGCTGGCTCGCTGGGTGCCACTTTCTTGTCATTGAGGATGCTCAATATACGTTGTTGGAGATCGACTTCAGCCTTCTTATTGACTGGGGCCGGGGTCAACGGCTCACCAAGCTCGATTTTGACTTGCTGCTCTTTGCGTTCCTATAATTAAAAAATCTTTTATTTCTTATATTTTTTTTATTTTTTAAGCATGTAACTGCTCGATGTTTAAATCTAAAGAAAATATTACTAAAAAATAATCCACGCGGACCAGGCAGCAGACGGGACTCGAACCCGTACCCTTCGCTATCCGGGCGAATGCACTGACCAATTATGCTATCGCGGGCCTGACGGCCGTATCGCATTCTTTCTAGCCTTTCTTAAGCTGCAAGGCAGCGCCATCGCTTCGCATTGTAGGTACCCCAATTCTTTTTTTCTACGCTAAAAATATCACTCGCACTGTAGCTTACTCTGACCCAATTCCCTACTCCGTGGTGCTCTGGTCTCTTACACATCGACAGAAACACGACATCACCAAAAGGTAATGTTATTTTACTGTGGTCTTGTGTAAGGCGGAAGTTACTTCCCCAGATGGGCGCTCCAATGGAGCGGACAAATCGCTATGCCCTACCACTCTGAACCTTTCTGACCATAATCTCAATGTTTACTATGTTTTCATAAAGCCGGAACTCCAGCAAAAGCTTTTTGGAAAAATTCAACAAAAACATACATAAAACTTTGTTTTTGAAACATGTTTCTCTACACACGCTGTCTGCTGCTCATGTGGTTGTTTATTACAAAGCGGTTAGCGAAAGTTAAATCAGATTTAAGAATTTCACCCTTTACAATTAAGAAAATATAAAGCTATTGCTAATGCATTATTGTTAATATATATTTTTATTTTCATTAAATAGTAACGAAAATTTCGATATTCATAAATTCAAAATCTAAATTGAAATGTAGCAATTTTGCTCCGATATTTCGATATTCAAACCTTAGTAGGTTTGGAACGGAGCTCCCGCTAGTGAGTTGTCAAAAAAAACAGAGTGTGCTTATGATCACACTACTGAAGTGAAACTGTTTACCTCCATCTGTATTTATATATATATGTGTGTACAATATAATACATGTATGTACAAATACATATTTCATTTACTAGATTTAAAAGAAAGAGAGAAAGAAAATGTGCGCACGCGATACTTTCTATTGCTTATATCCCCCACTCAACTCCCGTTCGCCTCGCCCGAACACACTTTTCGTAACGCATAACGCATTCGCCAGCTTACCCCCCCAAGTCAAGCGTGCGTAAAGAAGTTTCACTTCAAAAATGGCCGATGAAACAATAACCTGCCCCTCGATCCGCGCGGGGGGATTTGTTTTTCCATAGGGCTCGGAAAGCAAAAACATTAGTTGATGCAAACAAATATGTGTAATGAATGAAACAAAGTTTTGTGTAGGTTTTGTTGAATATTGATATGTTTTTGTAAATTGTGTAGGGCAAAACACGCGCCGGAGACCTGGCCTTAGTAACAATTGGCACGTAATAAATACTTACTACTTACTTTGGAAGGGCTTTGTGCAAGTACAAGGACCTAGGATTTGGGAAAAAGAATAGGGAAAAACAGAAAAATAAATAAGTTAGTCAACGTCACTCATTCATCGACACTTTCTACAAATTTTCTTTAGACTAAAGGATTACGAGTATAATGAATGTTTTATTACACAACATACCTGTAAATATTCAATAACTTTTTCGTATTGCAGCACTGTGAGAGTCCTGCCGTCTGCTAACTGGCCCAATAGCGCGTAAACAGCCTCCCGACCCGTGGGACCTCCCCTTTGTACTTCTTGGAAGTTACGTGAAATCAGCTGGAGAGCATCCTCAAGAGGCATGTTACGGTGTTCTATTGGATAGAAACATAATCTATACATATAAATAAAATTGGAGTGTCTGTTTGTAATATTGTAACTTATATTATTGAGTATATATGTTATGGGCTAAGTGATAAATCGGGCATTATTCATAATGCCCGGGCAATAATAATAATACCATATAGAGCGGGCAATGTGATTAAAACCAATCAATTTATCACATTACCCGGGCATTATGAATAATGCCAAGTGCCTATTGGGCAGAGTGATGTAAAGCATGTTTAATGCTTTCAAATGAATACTAAGTTACTTAGTTAGATAGACCGAGCATTACAAGTAATTAAATCAATTATTGGGTAGAGTAATAATAAAAACATATTTTATAGTTTAGTATTTATTTTTAAAATTTAAATAATCAGACTTAGATTTTACTTCGATAAATTTACGAAGGGCTACATTTAGAAACTATAGTCCATAGTTAGTAGCTAATAGTTTCAATGCAGTTTGTTTGAAAAATTCATTAAATCTGTTTAATGTTCATAATTTATGGTTCCCTATTTTTTAGGATGCAAGGACTAGGGAAGTAAGAACTAGTACTTCTGCCTTATCTCCGGCGCTGCGGGAATAGCAGCCCCTCCACCTTTGCGTGACAAAGTCACAAGCATCACTCCCCTTCACACCTTCGGCTTGTTGGTCGCCGCCTCCGGAGGCGACCAGCCTCAGGCGCTACGGGTCGCACGATTCTTGCGGCTTTGTCACAGCCGGCGGGGGCTGCTCTTCCTCTACGCCTCCGGACTCTAAAAAACACTCACAAATCTTGGTCTGCCCTACAGACCAAGATCACGGCGTGCCGGGGTTGACCAAGTCGGTTCTGAATTAAAGACTGTTGTAAAGCCACATTTACCTTTTTTTCTAAGTGTTGAGCCCATACTATTTTTTATTTACCAAGATCTCAAAACAAACACAAAATGGCGAGACATCTGTCATTTTGACAATAGTACCAACTTTTTGAATTTATTCATACTGCCCGGTCCAAGCGATAAATTCAAGCTATCTCAAACACTGACTTATTACATGGACCACGAGACGTCCGGCATTATTAATAATGACCGGGCAATGTGATAAATAGGTGAGTTTAGATTGTAATTAATCACTTGGCCCGATATGGCTGGGCATTATTCATACTGCCCGCATTAATCACTTGGCACATAACATATATATAGTTTAAATTTCAACTCGATACCTCTACGCGCTCCCGAGATAAAGGGTCTTGGCAGACAGACAGAAAAACGGTCGGACCTTTTATTTACGGAAACTTACAAGTTTGATTTTTTCTTAGCTTCAAGGGACCGCAGTAACGATATTAAATACCCTAGATACACCGCGTGCGCTCAAAATGTGTCCCAATCAAGAAGTTCTGAACACTACTCAAGCACTTCATGATTCAGTCACGCGCGGACCGTCTAAAAGTCAAATTACCGCAGAGCTCCGTGAAAAAAAAACTTATAGTATGTAAAGTGTCGTTTTTCGACAGGTATCTAACCAATATTTGTTAATTTAACGCATTTGAAGTAAAATTTGTTCTAATACTTACTATAATTGATTTATTAGAGATAATATTTGTGATATTCAAATGCATGGTTGGTAATATACCCGTCTCTTTTCCTCGCGGTCCGTACCTGCTATATTGCTAACAGCGAATTCAGAATTGCGCGTAGTCAAATAAATAAGGTCTATATTCTTTCGCAAATAGCAATAAGTCGTAAAATTTTACGATATTGCATTTCGAACTGTCATAACTCTTTGACGCATGCGTTTTAATTAAGACCTTATGGAGTATGCATTAAAGATGACGTTCAATGTTTAAATAATGCCGTATATTGTTTTTGACTACGCGGTCATCTAACGGAGCTCCGTGGATCGTCCAATGTACCTTTTTGACAGGTTTCGGGTACGATTTTGTTCGTGTATCTAGGGTATTTAATATCGTTAGACCGCAGACTTGAGTATATATTTAAAATTTCAACTCGATACCTCTGCGCGCTCCCGAGACAAAGGGTCTTGACAAACAAACGGTTAGGCGGACGGATCACAAAGTGATCTTAAAAGGGTTCCGTTTTTACTTTGGTTGGAGTTACGGAACCATAAAACACAACTTTAAGGCAAACCTTGTATAAACAAAACACCGTGCGAATAGAGAACGCATGTCAGAAGTGAAACTTTCATAATAATAATTATAAAAATATCTATTAACATAATTAATTACATAATTACAAAAAAGTAAAAAATTAACAAAAGTAATCTGATATTTCGTTAGAATAGGTACGTACATATACGTACATGGTGTGTAAGTTTTTTTAACAGATAGCGCTGTTCATACATCTACATCGCAGTATGGTTTGGTATAAAGACCTCGATAAAAACGTACAGTTTTCAATGTGGTTGTACAAAGAGGTATAATAAAATAAGTTTATACTATAAACTTTATAGCATGCTTATACGTATTTACATCTACCCGTCCTTTAAAATTTTAAATTGTCGCACTAAAATCTGACGCTCGAATCTTGACGCGGCCTTGAAAAGTTACCCTCATCGTGCGCAAAGAAGTTTCGCTACAAAAATATAGGCAATATACTTAGTAAATTAGGGAAGTAACTTACCTTGAGGCAAACCATGTAGAATGGTCAACGTTAAAGATCTGTTCTCTTGGTTCAGTGGCATTACTAGAATGGCATACAGACATCCACGGGACGCTATGTTGCCTAATACTTTTCCTATCGGGACATCTTCCATTGGAAATAGTAAGTCGACCACTATTCCAAGATGTTTCAGACGGCTTTCAATGTACTCTGCATATTCCCTAAAATAAAAAATTACTAAATAAATATACAATGCTATGCTATATGTTTTACAATGCAGAATTAATCTTACAGTGAATAAGTTATTTTTTGTTACGGTAAAAGAAATAACGTTTTATAAGATTGGATTAATAAATATTCAGTGATACTGTGGATTATGAATGTCCAAATCTTTGATTAAAAAGTAAATGTTTATATGTTTTTAAACTTACGTCAACTGTTTGGAAACAACAATGATTTCGCAATCATTCCTCTCTGTGACCGGAATAGCTCGAGGGTATTCCTGGTGACCGTAGCGATCGTAGCCTCCACCTGTGTATAATAAAATAGCATTATAAATTGCTCTTAAACATGTAGACTTCGTTTTCATAAATCTTTTATTCCACGGACAATAAAATTATGGATTGAGCTCCCCTCCACTTTGTTCCCTCAATACTATAACATGGTCCTTTCCTGTTGTCCTACAAGAGAGGCATAACCCGTCAAATGTGTAAACAATATGACGCTCAAAACCCTTTCTGTGTTAGCCTACATTTTATTTTTCACGGCCGCAATTTTTTATGTGGGAGTAATTTCGTGAAATAGGACGAAAGTGTGTAACAGGAAGTCGCGAAAGCGCGCGCTATTTGAAACATAATGTTCAAATGGCTTATTCCTTTTGTAGTAGGTTTTATTTCATTTTTCACTAATATAAGGTGAGGTTTCAAATGTTACACATCATACGCGACTACTGTAAGGCTCGTTAGTTTTTTTTTCGGCCGATTTTCCTCTTTTTATTCGAGTTCTACTGTACATCCAGGCTTCATTTATGTCTTAAATCAATCCTGAATAGTTTCTCTACAAATATATCAACTTAGACTAATATTAGATTAGATGTATAAAATAAAAACCATAACTAATAAATAAATATTTCCAACACTCACACCAATTAGCCTAGCCCCAAAGTAAGCACTGTAAGGCTTGTGTTATGGGATACTAGGGTAACGGATAGAATACATATACTGTACATATATAAGCATATTTATATAGAAATACATATTAAACATCCATGACTGGAGTACAAATGCTCGTATTCATCACACAAACATCTGCCCCCACCGGGATTCGAACCCGGGACCTCTCGAGTCGGCGACACCATGAAACCCGGCGTACAAACCACTCGGCCACGGAGGTCGTCAAACTAAAAATGATAAAACGCAAAATATAAAAATGAAAATATTTTTCTCAACTCGTGGCAGAAATCTGCCATCTCCCACAGACAGGGGTTTTTTTTTGACGTAAGCAGATATCTGCCATTTACACACGCCAGGGGTTTTTTGACGTTAGCAGAAATCTACCATTTACACAGACCAGTGGTTAAATAGAGTGTTCCACGAAAGGCAGCGGCATGGCTGTGTCACTGCCATTGCTGATGTCCATGGGCAACAGTGACCATTTAACATCAGGTGACCCGTCTACTTGTCTGCCTTCGAAGATAAGAAAAAAAATAAGATAAAGCGATTGTGGGGCCAGTTGTCTTTCTCTAGCAGTTTGATTGATCCACTTCACAGCCTTTAAGCGCATATGAATTGTACATATATATAGAGGTAGGTATTGGTCATACAATTGTTTTTCTCTTTGTGAAATTTAATGTAGATATTTCTATTTTCATTGCCACCTTACGAGTATCGCGATTGATGATTCACGCACTGCAAGGCTCTTGGGTAAAAAAAAGTTTTGTTCTTTATAATAACGTAGGCAAAGCACTCTTTCCCACATGATTTAGGGGCCGTCCATTAATCACGTGATGTTTTTTTGGCATTGTTTAAATCCTACCCTTCCCTCCCCCTTGGTGATACATGGTGAAGTTTAAGACTACCTACAAAGAATCTTATTTTTATTATATACTTACATAAGTATCATCTAATTTTATAACAGAAAATTAAAGACTATAATAATAACGTTAAGAGGTAGACAGAAAGGTTGCAAGTTGTCAAGATGCAAATATAGCTGGTACTGCATTTATGAACTACCACACCAACCATCCTCACTTTATTGGTAGATACATAAGGAATGACATGGTTAAATTTAGTACTGGACAAGGTTTGGTAAACAATCATTAATGGCGTTTGTATATTGATAAAAAGACATTGTAAAGAAGTCCAAATCGAAACCAGATTGGTTGTCATTTAAAAAGTTCATTATTCAATGTAGGGGTGCGCGTTCACCTGCATTCCTTCTGCACTGTTTATGAAATCTATGGAGTAATGAAGTTTTATTTTGTGTATTTGCAAAAATGAAGGGATTAATTCTCATACAGCCTTAATGCGAAATATAATAATTATACTTGGCAATAGCCATGTCCTTTATTTGAATGATCTGCACATAAATACATGAATTAAAGAATATTTACAAATTTAATACCGGTCTGAGCAAATGCTTCTTTTCTTTGTTTCAAATGAATAAAATCTTACCTCCTTTTGCAGGTATCCCCCAATGGTCAATTTATTTGTATGATTGGCACATGCTTATAAAGATGAAAGATGGAAAATTAATAAATTTGACAGTTATGTTTTTTTAAGCATTTAACTGCTAGATGTTTAAACATAAAGAAAAGTTTACTAGAAAATAAAATTACACGGGAACCAGGCAGCAGCACCCTTCGCTATCAGGGCGAATGCAATGACGATTATGCTACCGTGGCAATTTTACACAGGTTTGCACAAAAACTTCTTTTCTTTGCTTCAGAATATCTATACATAATTATAATAAACTGGTAGGAAAGTCAAAACTGTACATTGATATATTTTTAAAGGATACTTGGGGTGTGATCTGCCATCAATACCGAAGGCAAAAATATAGTTTTTAGAATTTTTGTTTGCATGTATGTCCGGGATAAACTTAAAAAGTACTGCATGGATTTACTTCAAATTTGGCACGAATATTATTAAGACGTCGATCGGGTCAACATATAGGCTACATATTATCGCGCTATCACATACGGGGCACGACCAGTGAACCTTTATTTTTAACTAACTCCACGCGTACGAAGTCGCGGGCGGCCGCTATTCTAAAATATTACCTCTTGCAGGTATGGGTGAGTGGTCACGGAATGGAGGGCCACCGCGGCCTCTGGCGCCGCGGCCTCTGCCTCGCATATTACCGCGGCCTCTGGGACCTCCACGAGACGGCTCCCTGCCTTCCCAGCTCTGGTTGTTATCCCTATAGTTCTCGTCGTAGCCTTCATCTCCGTAATCTACCAAATAAAAGTAAGTGCACATTGAGACAAGTACGTCACAAAATTTCATGATTTTTTACCCCTCCTCCGTCCTTGTTACAGTTGGTCACATTTCCTCCCTGGTGTCCTTTCTAGTGTGACGTCCTATATATTTTGCATCTAGAAATTATTAAATTAAAGTTTTACAGCAGCAGTTCCGATAAGTACCGAAAATTAGCCAACAAAGCAAATTAAAACCTATCTATCTAAAACCCATACAGAAATAAAATATTTTTAAGCTTTTTTATACTAGTAAGTGTTCAAAATATTTTAGAAATGTGACGCCACGAAACTTAGAATCAGTACCACCCCTTGTCATACAATGTCATACTTCGTCGACCGCTTCCTACCCCCTTAACGTGCGACGTAGTACTTTATGGGTGACCCACGAGTATCAGCCACCAAACGCAGCCACTAGTGGCTCAGCGAAGCCACCGATATTGCGGCTTATTGGCGACAACTCGAATGCTTAGTTTGCGCCGATACTATACAAAATTATGAAAATACTCGAGCGCAGCTTGTGCGCTTGCTTAGGAAAAGATTTGATCAGATGCTATAATAATCAATATTAAAAGAATAATAAGATGGCAAAAAGAAAACACATTTGCTATATGGGAGGCTCCCTTAAATATTTATTTTATTTTGTTTTTAGTATTTGTTGTTATAGCAGCCACAAAAATACATTATCTGTGAAAAATTTAACTGTCTAACTTATTACAGTTCATGAGATACAGCCTGGTGACAGACCGACAGACAAATGGATAGCAGAGTCTTAGTCTTAGGGTCCCATTTTTACTCTTTGGGTACACAACCCTAAAAAGAAAAACTTATTCAATTTTTATGATTCAACAACCAGAGGTTAAACTGTTATATCAAATATATCAATTTAACAACAAAACAATCCAAAATGTTTGTCTTACTCTGATCCCCTTTGAAGTTGCCATAACTGTCGTAAGGGTCATCACCTGCATCGTCCTGCACCACAGCTATGTTGTCTGATAGAGCCACAGCAGGTGGAACATCAGGGTGCAGTGTCACTACTTCAGTCCTGTCAACAAGAAATCACTTTAGATGATTTCTATTATTGTAGGAAAGGAACAACAATCAATTTATGACCACCTCTGCGGCTCGACTGGGATTTTCACTGGTTTTCAAGATGTCACCTACTCCGATGTCCAGGGTTCAAATTCCGGTGGGGCAGATGTTTGTGTGTTGTATATCAAAATTTCTGTGTCATGGATGTTTTAGTTTATGTATTTCTAAATAAGGAGAAAGAGATTCCCTATTTCATCCATAGAGAAGGCCTGCGCCCCAGCAGTGGGGACATTAATAGGCTGGTGATGATGATGGTTTCTACATAATAATATACTTATCTAAGCATGTACTCTAGTACATAAATGAAATATTTTATTTGATAATTTTTTATCTACGCTGAAATCATTTTTGTATGCATATTTGGATAAAGTTATTAAATGACTGAGAAATTATGGAAGAGGCTTCATAGGATATTTTTATTATAAATAAAATCCAAAGGAAATCATAACTAATTGGATGTATATTTAAGCTAAATTTTAATTTCCCATTTGAGAATGGGTGTATGTAAGGAGAAATTGTGGTGTGTATAATAAGAAAACATGAATATAAATTTATTTGTTCACTAAGAACATCTTATGCAATATTTTTATGTTATACACAGGGGCAACTGTGATTTGTGTCTCACTGGGTTTATTAGATCTCATGGAGTATCCAATTAATTTGAATCCTGACATAATAGGACTTTTTTATCATTTTGATAAAAAAATTGCTCTCATAATAATTCAACATCTCAACTAGGTAAAAATGCATCTGATTATCCGATTTTTAATTATCTTATAACACAAGCCTTACAGTGCTTACTTTGGAGCTAGGCTAATTGGTGTACATATAAAAAATATAATTAACAGCACAATAGGTACCCTGTTACCTGTATAGTGAAGATATAAAAGGTAGATACCGGATTTCAGGCACAAAATTCGAATCTAATTCAGCACTAAGTCCAGTTTATGTGTTCATGAAGATGATAACCTTTTCGTAAGCATTGTCTATCTATATTACCAAAAGGGAACGTAAGGTCCTACTTAATATTAGTCCATGGTATATTATTAATCTATGGTACGTATAGAAGGGCTATATAAAAATGGCAACTATACGAGTAATCTGTGAAGTGTGCTTTGGAACATAATATACATTAAGTTCCAAAGCACACTTCAATTAAATCAATTAAAATCCTAAATATTATAAAGGTTAATTGGGTCTTTTATTATGCACTAAACTTGTACAGGGAAATCATTTTTTCAACATATCAGAAGGTAATTTGGTTAACAATAATAGTTAATGAACTAAAACCAACCTCTTTTCTGGGTTTGTTTGTGCGGTCCTTACAGTGATCGATCTTCCTTGGAAATTTGATCCATTCCCTCTTGTTATTGCTTCTTGTGCACTTTTTTCTGTTTCAAATTGCACAAATCCAAAGTTCCTATTAGTTATAATTCCATTTATTTGTCCATATTGAATAAAATGTTCATAAAGATCATCTACAGTAGTTTTGTCTGTCAAACCACCAACATATATTCTCAGATGAGAAGTTGATTTATCTTTCATAGCATGTCTGTCCAACGTCAATTTGTCTGAAAACAAGTTGCATCAACACCTTAACTTAGATAAACATTTATATACGAAAAACAACATCTGAATTAGGGTTATATACATAAATTAGGTTAAAAATAGAGCTCAACACTCTGCTTTATCAAAATATCCATAGTGAAAAACACGCAAAAAAGATTCTTAATTTGCTAGAAATCAAAAACTGAAAATACAATCATTTTTGATGCGGTATGTTCATACAAGTTTAGAGATAATTGTTAAAATTAAGTAGCACCCAATACAGAAGGAATGAAAAATGTAAAAATAAACTAAAACTTTACTGACCTGCCATTGCAACTGTTTAAAACTAAGTACTAATATTTTTATTTCAAATAAATATGTGGCCCCGCAGTCCGGACGAACGCCAAAATTAGGGTTGCAAGGCAACGATGCACAGACCATTAAGAGAACAAGTTCAACGATATATCGGAATATCGATAATATCGAGACCAAAATATCGATATTTAGATCGATATTTAAAATACACTGATATCGATAATATCGATATCGGAAATTCCAAAATATCGATATTTCGTAGACTAAATTTAAACACAATAATAACAATTAATTTACCTGCTATGACTATCTAAATTGAATAATATAGAAATAACTATTGCTTTGAAATCGCAAGAGCTTATAAATGTATACCTGTCAAAACGGGAAGTGAAATTTGAGATATGCTGATTACGTCATCTATAAACGAAATGGCGGCTTCAATCAAAATGGCTTCCGCGCGACAAAAAAAAATATATTACGCTGTAGCCAAATCATTAATTATCATTGCGTGAACGAGAATTTACTAATTGATAAATTTTCTTTCAGTCGGATAAAAAAATTATGGCAATTATCAATACGTTATATTTTTTTGAGATGCCCAAAGTTTACACTACTTTACGCACTTTACGATGTAAAATAAACGAAAAAACGGGCGGATGCCGAGAATCATATATCTAAACTGCCCACTTATGTAAACAAACTAATGAAAGACCCCATTGTTGATAACAAAAACAGCACTTGAAACCAGAGTCCGACCCGACCCAACGAACAAAAAACAAAGTAGGGATGTATCTTGCCGTGCCTTCACTTTTATAGTTTTATCGATATTTGTTCTGTTATTTATAAATAAAAACACATTTGGTACTGTTTTTAATTGATTTTTATTTACAGTGTAATTATTCCTATTATCAACAAGGATATGGATAAATATAGCTAAAAATAAAACTACCATACACAGTGGAAAAAAATTGACTTCACGTACTTTAGGTTTTTTTTATTGGTAATAAACCCGAAACCGTAGATATCAATAGAAATAATAAAGTTTGTTCTCTCATTCTTGAGTTCTTTTTATTGATACAATACTCAAACGAACTTTGAATATATTGCTAAATTGAAAGTATCTTCTGCTGCATCACTCATTTGCTGCTCCTCACCCTCTTTATCTTTATAGAGCAGGAATAAAAAATCGGCGGTTGGGTCCTGGTCTTAGCGCCACGAAGACATACTATAAAATCCAAAAAAAAGAAAACCACTATATTTACTTAGCCATTATCACCATATTTACTGCATGAATTTATTTTATTTTGTTATATGTAAAACTACCATTCTAAAACAGTAACAATAAATTAGCTAAACATAAACTCGCCCTACAATGCCACCACCACAATTTTAGTCGATCTATCGACAATTCATTATTTTTATCTCGTGACTATCGATACGTACCTATCAATACGCCTACGAAAAGAGGTTCAAATCGACTGCAAGTAGGTTACGCCCGTGACGCCGTACATATAAGAGTCAAAATGGCTTGCTAGGAATTGACAGACGATACCCCATTTTTGATCTTTATACACAGAAATTCCCTTATCTTTATGAGGAGTTTCTAACAATAATTTGTTATCAGCGATGTAAAAACTAACTGTAAACGAGTTTCAATTGCTTATTGTAAACACTTATTTATATTACCGAAACTCAATCATCACAAATAACTTTGAAACAACCTAAGAAATTTTGTCAGTATTGAACATGAAAATCATTTTTATTACGAAGTATTTTATACAACCAATTATCTATAAAGGTATATTGTAAGCAGAACAACACACTTTATAACACTTTCCCTATAAAATTAAGCATTTACCATGAAAAAAAAGATAAATTACATACACGTAACCTCAATTCGACCAAAAAAATTCCACTTTTTCAACGACGCAAAAAAAAAAAACTACACAGAGTAGGTGAAAACTTTACGGCTCTAAAGATTGGTCATTTCGCCAAGTGAATCTATGGTAAAACTTCTTCATACAAAAGTAGCCTCTAACCTTCACAAAAAATGGCTTATAGTCCCGTGGGGAGCGCGGCCCATATGGGCCGTGCGGTGTTTGACCGTGCAATGTTTTTTCCCGCGCGGCCCTTATGGGCCGTGTGGTGTTAAGTGAGTTAAAAAAATCTTGAACCCCAAGAAATATACTAAACTGGTGTGGATTCTGGCATGGTTCTCTAAACCTAAAATTAAATTTGACAACATTGTATCATTGTCATTCTCTATACAGAATAAAAAGGAGAGAATGATGTTAAATTTAGTTTTAAGTTTAGATAATCATGCCAGAATCGACACCAACGTATATAGGTATAATCTTATTACCTAATGGTAACTCATGCACTTAAATAAACTCCTTGCCTCTCTTTCTAGATAATTGTCAACTACTGATTAATTGAAATTTAGTATCATTGTAATATAAAACAAAATAAAATTAAGAATATTATACAAATCGTAATTTTTTTAAGCTCGCCAAGTCAAGAAAGTAATAAAGGTATAGTCATTTTGGAAGTTTGGGCTTACCCTATTCTGAAGTAATGGGCACGCCCCTGATGTGTGGGAGACTAAGCAATTTGCGTATTTGATGTGCGCTAAAAACCGACATAGCTTGGAAAAGCACGAATGTAGTGAAAACTTAGCGAAGGCATTCGCAAATGTCGTCCCATATATGCGGGTTGGCGCATTCGTGCTAACGAATGTGAGTGATCTGATCAGGATAATAATTTTAATTTTTTGGTTTCCTGTCGTGGCTGAAACACAAACCGTGCGAGCCAATAAAAAAAAATCCTGCTTGGCGCGATTTCATCGCTTGATGCAACACGCTTGTGTTTAACGAAAAAGCTGGCTCAATGCATTTTGTGAGAAACTCGCTAACAAACATATGAATGTGTCACACTCACCCCGTATTCTAATGTCAATAAAAAATAAAAAGGAAAAAATATCGATAATATCGAGTTAAAATGGTCGATATATCGGATATCGATATTTTCCTGACTTCGATATAAATATCAATATTTCAAAAGACTGCATCCAAAACCTAAACCACAGACCAATGAGAACAAGTTCAAAATATTCATTTGTATTTTTGAAGTTATACTTCTTTAGGCGCGTTATGAAAAAATGATGAGAGTGAAATTTTAAGATGCGCGCGCATCACTGTAACACAAAATTTTAACAGCATGCGTTACTTCATGCGTTACTTTTGTGTTTACCGCACATTAAGAAAATCTACCAACAAAATAGAAATAGAATCTCTATTTAGTGGGTGCTAACGACTGAAGAACTTCACAATGAAGGCCTATCAAAAGTATTTATTAATCTGGAACAACGGAACCAAAGCGCGATTCAGGAGACTACAGCGCCATCTCTTGACCATTGGTGTAGTAGAACCAAAAACCATATCTTTATTTTTTGTAATAAAGTAACAGTTATAGGTATTCATATTTATAATATTTATCCACATGTTTCTAGTTTGTATATTCGGAATACGTGTTTGAGTTTCATACAAGTGCAAATCACATATGTTCTAATAAATTATATTCAGTAGCGATTTTAATTGAATATTTTGATTATTTATTTATTTTTTCAAATTAAAACTGAACTTTATTGACTGTGTCCTTTTCCAGACTTTTTATTAATTTATTGTAATTAATTATTTGCATGCAATTAAAAACTAATTTTAAACGATGCCAAAGAAGTATAACTTCTCACGCGCCTACATAAGTACACGCACCCATTTTTTTATATATATATAAATTTTACGGCCTTGGAGATTTCTATATTGGCCAATCGATGATGATTTTGTCAAAGACTTTATTTAAATAAAGTCTTTGGGTTTTGTAGCTAGTAGGGATGGGCGTTTTTAGAATAACGATGCCACTGGGTTCGGATGCGCGCATCCGATGCGACTGGATGCCGTTATTGGATGCCGATGCCATATAGTTTTTGTCAACGTTACCATACCAACAGTGCCACAAACTTATCTGTGCCGGTGAAGATATCGCTAGCGGTGAACAAATATGTCCTAAAAATGTCAAAATATATATATGGATAAATTGTAGTTCAAAATTTTGCCACCAACACAGAAAATATTGTGGCACTGTCGCTATAGTAACGATGACAAAAACTAGATGGCATCGGCATCCATTATCGGCATTCAGTCGTATTGGATGCGCGCATCCAAACCTGCCATCCTGCCTGTGTTCAAAACCTACGCTCTGAGTGAAATTTTTTATGTAATAATTTTGCCAGCATTCAATCTTTTCAGATAACATACCGAAAAGTAAATAAATGGTTTTCGATTACATTTTCAAGTTCTCAAAACTCCTTTTTTTTTGTAACATATTTATCGTATTATATTTAAGGTTACATACATTCTTTATGGCGGAAAATGCAACTCAACACGCAATTTATAAAAGAAATTTGTATTTTAAGAAAACAGTAGATCCATGTTTCAGAATCAGGTTCAAACTCAGAAAACAGGCTCGTGAGATGTCAGCTTGAGGAATGCAAATGATGGCCGCAGTGCAGGCAGATAATACAAGACGCGCAGTTCGCAGTTGTAAACATGGAGGAGTTGTTCAAGTAAAAACTATTTATTTACCGTCAACACCCATTTCGACAGCGATGTTTTGCCGGCACCTATCACCGGCATTCCTGTTTGAATGTTTCTTGTCTCTTTTATCCCATACAGCCGGGTTAAGAAAAACTTTCGGGGTAAACGCTTCAATATTCATTATGTTAATTCTAAAATATAAATCAAGATACAAGAGAAGATCGCAAACAAGAAGCATGGCACTTAATGTTTGTATAATATAACACAACCAAGAAAAGGGTTACGTGAACAACTATAACCTGCAGTCCGGGCGGCGCCGGCGCTGGTAAATTTAGTATTTGAAACAAGAAGAGAGAGACTTAAACATTCCGGTAAATTCCCAGGCTCCGAACTCTGCGTGGGCAACCAGTTGCCTGCTGCTTAAACTACACTGTTTATTTCTCGCGCTTGTTTTTTTGAGTCTGAACCAGCGTGCACGGTGGCCGTACCCAACCAATTTGTTAGTATCCACGTTCAATCCTGATTG